TCTTCAAATGTATGCATGCATGTACATAAAATAATTATTCTGTGCAACCATAGGTGTGACTTGTAGACGGTGCAACTGAGAATTAGACACAACAACTGGCTCTTAATCCCAAAGAGGCAGCTCAGAGACGATCGGGGAATAGATGATGAACTTAAGAATTAAGTAAATTATTAGACAACTTAGTGCATCTATTTTGCTTTTTGAATTAAAAATGATTTAAGTACAAATTACATCATTAGCATAACATTGAGTAAAAAAAGTACATGCATTATTGCTTATTTGCTTTAGAATTTATCTCATTATTACTCAAAATAAAAATATCAATCAATCAAATGGTGACCTTAAAGTATAAAAGGGACTTTTTTATGGAATATTGCTAGGTTTATTATAAATGATTTCTTTAGTCTAATTATTGTTAATTAATGTGTCTTCACAATCTTTCATCTAAAACATATCCCCTGAGGCAACAGGGCTGGGCATTAATTCCTACCTCCAGCAAACACTCACACGCACAATCCGAAAATCCAATCAATTAGGCAAAATCAAGTCCCACCCAACATTTTCTCTCATTCCATAAGCCATTTCACCCACATACACACATCACAACAGGGGGAAAAAAAGTCAATTTCTGTTTCATGCCAAATGTTTCAGCAGGATTGAGCAAAAGTTTATTCATGATGATCATGAAACTATGATGAAATCTTTATAACTTAACCGCCAATGTCACAAATGTGCTTTTTAATTAGTGACAACATACATTTTCTGTGTAAATATTATGGTATGTAGTTATATAAAAATGTAATTTGTATACATTTGGACCACAAATACTCCAGATCCAATAATTTCATCCTCTCGAACTCTCCTCTCTCATATTTCATCATGCTGACAAGCTTAAACCTTTAGTCAATCAATTCCACCTGATAAACGTCTCACCTCCTGCTATATTGTGCCTGTTCTTGAGCTGATTAACCATAATTTGACAATGGAGGGAAAAAGAATAACAGGGAAAGAGAGGAAACATGAAAAATAAACAAACAATGGAAGGAACAATACAATTAAAAACAAAAATAAAAAGAAGGGTTCAATTAGAATGCTTGGTTGAATCCACTGTACAAGACTGCTACTAAATTATATAGGCACTAATTCAACACAGCCCCCCCAAACAGGTGCAACATGTTTGGAGCCTGATGGGAACTCAGCCACGGCCATTAATCTCCATTAGATCCGTGCAAAGGTGTGTGGTGGATGTACACAGCCCAAAAAAGGACGGAGGGCCTGGTGAACCTTACTATCATGGAGTAGAATGCCTTTGTTGGGTTCATAACCAAAATGCAATGTGCAAAAGTCTTGTCAGGCAACAATTGTATCTGTTTATTCTTGTTTAATATTAACACATGCAACAACATTTCTTTTTATAAGAATCGATATTGCTGAATGTGGTGTCCTACACAGACCTCAGTGTAATTTTGTTTCATTCTATGCTAATTTAACTCTTCTTGGTGTTTCATCGTTGCATAATGGCTATGTTTCCAATGACCTAAAGAGGTGGTCTTACTATCTAATATTGATTCAAAAACAGTAAACTAGAAGAGAAAATATTGGGAATAGAATAATTCATTTCATTGTATCCAGTTGATGCTTTCAGCCTCTGCAGCAGCAGCAGCACTACTGAAGCTTGTCCATCATCATAAGTCTGAACTCATTAGGATTCTGGATTCTATCAATCTGCCTATGAGTCTACAGAGATGTTCTTGAGTCAGAAACACAATATTAAAGAATACAAAAGAAAATAGAGAAATTCCTTTACAGGCTTTCTAGGACTAAGAGTCAGCCAGGGATACTGGGTTGCAGTATGGGTCAATGCAACCTGTAACAAAAACTCAAACCACAACACAGCATGTGTGATCTTAGGTGTGATAAGAGGTTTCCATGCATTTGGGGATGATTGCCCAAAAGAATAGCCCCTATTGTTGTAAGAAAAATGACCCACTTCATTAGTTACAATAATGTACAAATGATAATAGCCTACTTCTTGACACATTTGTGTAAAAAAAGAAAAGAAATGCAACCTACAATGATGAATGTTTTTTAATCATAATAATTCCCTTAGCAGAGTCCACTGAAGCACAGAATTCACCAACATTATCATAATTCAAATTTCTTAACACTTCACGACTGACTACATACAAGCAAAAAAGCCACACAGTGAAGCCACCCAGAATGATTGCACGCGCGATCTGTACGCTGCTAAGATTGATTTGGTTGTCACGGCGACTGATAACGCACGTAGCCGGGTGCCTTTGAACTGTAAGTAGGCCGCGAAAATAGTGGAACGACTAAAACAGCGAAAAGCACGAAACTGTAATAGTCCCGTTTTCAGGTATGACATTAGCTCTGTCTGAAATCGCTCCCTATCCACTATATAGTGCACTACATAGGGTGTCGCCCATTCACTCCTTGCAGATATAACGTTAGTGCACTCAAATGCCATACACTATAGGGTTTACTGAATGAGTGAACGGTTTCGGACACAGCTAATGACAATATCACCACCGTTTTAATATTATAATATAGCATTTCCTAAAAATATCAACCGCTATGAGCAAGCCTATTTTTAATAACTTACAGATTTAATGGCTAGTCAGATACTAAACATGATAATAACGTTACAGATCATTTTATTCACGTTTCCCCTAATCCACGTTGCTATGGATATTTAAATATCTCATCCAATAAGTTTTTATCTGTCACATTTTCTGTTTGTGAAACCTTTGTGACAGCAAATACGTTTGCAGTGCGTCTTACGTTTATGTTTACAGTGTGCACGTCTCGGTCGGTCACGCTGTAATTTCACTAAGGAACACTAATTTACACACAGTTTTGGTACGTAGCCAAGTGACTACTAAAACGACAGTAAGTTATCCTCAACGACAGAGATTGTACTTTTCGTTACATATTAACGATACGATACTAAACAGGCTATGGGAAGTTTGGGTTGTTATTGTTTTTAATTATGCAATGTCGGAGAGTAGTAAGCATATGAGTTAGAAGCGGTTCACATGGCGTGTAACATAGCTGCAGTCAGTCTTGTGACATGTGTAACTGAATAATGTATGTTGACTGTAAGGAACTTCACTTCTGTTATTTTTCTCTTTCAGATATGTATCCATTTTTACCCGTTTATCACAAAAGGTATTTTTCGTGAATAAACCCCTCTTTAATTTTACACAGATACGTTAGCTACAGGGATCAGCTGCATACAGTAGCTAGCAACCATTTCATTCCCAAATATAACGTTATGTGATTGCTTGTAATCGGTTGCCTCAAAAATAATGCCTTGTCAACGTGCAATTTGTGCCACGCATTACTCACTACTCTGAATTAGCGTACAAGTTCGGGATGCAATGTCCGGTTTGGTACGCCTCCAAGGCATAAGGCTTGATTTTTTTTCATTTTTGATAATACGCTAGCAAGCTAGCTAGCAACATCATCCCATCCCCCCTCTTTTCGCCCCTCTCCCCCTTTTCTGTCTCAGTCTACCTTCCGTATCACGCATTAACTCTCAATCGCATTCCTTGCATTTTCGAGACACCCCCTCCTCCCTCAGAAATGACAATACTGATGGCTGGACGTGGACCCAGCGACAATATAATGCATGCAAGTGAATGAACATAGCACTGGGAGTGAGAGAGAGTGGGAACATGCATTGCGTCCGTCGGCATGGGCATTGTTACAGCCAGCTAAGCATATTTATGCATCCAGTGCATGGAAGTGTACTTGCACAGGCGCCTTACCTTGCCTTCGCCGATCTCTCGTAACCCCATCCCGTTCCAGCGCCCAGATCACCGAATCCTGTGCCAGGATAATTTCTATCCATTAAAGAAGAGACAAGGGATGAAGATGGAGAGATAGACGGGGGGAAGGGGAGGGAGGTATTTCCTAAATTATAACACACTATCTCTCCCCGTGTCCTTTCCTCTGCGCTCAGTGTCTGTTTATCTATCCTGTTTCACAAGCAAGTCCTCAAGAATAGGACCAGCACAGAGGGGGAGAGGAATGGAGGGAGGAGAAGGAGGAGGGGGAGATGGAGGATACAGAGGGGAGGCGGGTGAAGTATTACACCAACCACCGCCACCACAAAAAATCCGGTTTCTTCCTCCCCTCCCCTCTTTTGCCCTCTTATATATCTCGATGCTTGCCTATTGTCCTTCTTAACAGAAACAGCAAACGCGGCTGATGCTCTGCATGTCGAATTCTGATGCCATTGCTTGTTACACCCACGAGACATACGACACGTGCTGATTGTACCCTATTTCAATTGTTCCTGTACTGCATTGCCACAAAAAGGTGAGATATAGGCATCTAAAAATAGTAGTCTATCGATGGCGCGTTTTTAACTCAGCTGTTGCGCCCCAAATATTTACATCATGGATGTAAAGTCATTTCTTCACCGTGATGGAGGCTCTTCGTCAGAAACAGTATGCTTTGTTGTGAACGGGTTCATTTAAATCCGCAAAATGTACAAGAGCCATACAAGAGGCTAGCATAATGCTTTAAACCTCACATAAATGTTACAATGCCTGGGATTTAAATCGCTATTTTCAGGTTTTTAGGCAAAAAGACGCCATTTTCAAGAGTGGACTAACAGGCTCGCGCGCGCACACACATAAACATACACCCCCCCCCCCCTCCCGAATCGCTTGTCACACTCTCACATATGCAGTCTGTCTGGAAGTCTCGTGCGTACTGCCGCCTTGTTACAGCACAGATAGAGGCACTACTGAGTCTTGGATGCTGTCTTCTGATACTCGGAAAGAGGCGATAATGAGTGAGAACAGCGATTAATTGCCAATACTGAATCGATTTAAGTCCCGCGCGTTATTGCACAGTCGAATTATCAAATTCAAGTTGGTCTACATTTTTCATTTTATTAATAATGACAATAAAATTCAATATAACATGACCAAGAAAACGCTTTTACATTTTTTTTTAAACAAACCTGATTTATGAAAACATTCAGTGTGCTTACAATACAACTCTGTCCTTTGGTGATAGTAGGAAAATAATAATAATAAAAAAGTTAACAGCTGAACATGTAGCACAAGTATAATAAGTTACCTAATTAGACTGAAATTACACTTTGCAGCTGACAGTCATTTCTTTCTCCGTGGCACATGACCACCAACTTGCAGACCCCCAAAATTCCCCTTTTTCACAGTAAAACCATACATCACCCCCCTCCCCCCCACCCCAAAAACAACACATGTTTTGTTAAAAGAAAACCACATCATGTCTTTGTCATTCCTCATCTGCAGTTTCTGTCGGCTCGGGTGGACTTTCCCTGTAAAAAGATGATGCAGAGATGCATATTTTAAAACATATTTTGAAAATGCAGCACAAACTAATTTTATAGCAGACAGGTATATCACCTTTGTATGTGATACACAAGCAAACAAACCATTCAGAGTTCTTACCCAGAGTATGGTGGTGGGGGGGCATCGTGCTGACCACTGTGAGTCAGAGCCTCATTGTAAGAGGGGAGACCCGGAGCCACAATAGACAAGGGCACAGATTCAGGTACTGGCTGGCCATCCACTCCCATTTGCACAGGAACACTGTGGAGATGCAGATCCATTAGAGTAATATTGCCACATAAAAGGCATATCACAGTGGTAATAACAGCATGCACTTACCTTCCCCCTCTTGCATTTTTGCCTCGGTTCTTGTAGCAATAAATGCCCAGCACAGTGGCTATAATCGCTGTTATTACAATAGCCACAATGCCAGCTACCAAACCAGACACATCGAGTGGGAGCAAAGTCTCTGTGGAAATCGACCAATCAGTTTATTATTCTCAACAAAAACACATTTTAATTGTTTATCCCATTAGGATAAAATATTGGTCAATACAATACTATTTGTAGCTTGTATTTGCTTACACTATGATGATAGACAAGCTGCTTGAAAATTGAATCCAACTGTTGGATGTGCATATCTTCAACCATCTACAAAATATCAAATACATTCCCTTAAAGGGAAAAATATCAAATACATTCCACCCAAAAATGAAAATTCTGTCATCATTTACTCACCTTCAAGTTGCTGCAAACCTGTATGAGTTTCTTTCTTCTGCTGAACACAAAGAAGATATTTTGAAGAAAGATTGGAACCAATCAGTTGTGGGGCACCATTGACTTCCATAGGATTTGTTTTTTCTGCTATGGAAGTCAATGGTGCCAAACACCATTTTTCAAAATATCTTCCTTAGTGTTCAGCAGAAGAAAGAAACTCGAGGGTGAGTAAATGATGACAGAATTTTCATTTTTGGATGGAGTCTCCCTTTAATGAAAGAAAATCAGCCTTACCATGACTGTTGCTATAGGTTTTCCAAAAATTGGCCTGTTGGAAAACAAAACAGACAGTGTCAAATGACTTACATAACCCCTTTTTTTTCACTTCATCTTGTAGTTTTGGCTATAACATGATTCCTTTGTGTTGACATTCCCTATATAAGAGTATTGAGATACTCTATTTTCTTACTGCCAGTTTGTCATCTTCAAACACCTCTCTGGCCTCTTCATACGAGCATATTTCCTCCATGCATTCTCTCTCTATATTGCCAGGCACCACAGCCTCAAAATCCCAACTGTTTTTCAACAGTTTACGGGAGATAAATGAACCTGCTGATCTCTCATCTAGGAACACTGAAGAACACAAGAGAATACAAAGCACTTCTTGTAACAGACAGAAGGAACAGCACAATACATACAAAGGGTCATTAATGGCAGCTAATCATAGTGAAAAAAACATATGTTGACTTCTAGGTATGAAACAATTACCAATGTTTGTAATGCAACTAAAGTCTGTTATGCAAATAAGGTTTTTTGTAATACAACTAAAGTCATAATGCAAATAAGGTTGTGCAGCGCTTGATATATCTTGATATCATGCACGAGTGCATGGGGAGCCAACAAAAACACAGCATAGTACTAATGGATTAGCAACAACCAAAAATGATAAACCAAAAATGTCCCACACTGCCAATTAAAAAAAAGTGTTTTTGCTTTTCATTACCATCATTTCCATTGAAGATTACTCTGCCCCAAACAAGATGCAGCAGGGATAGCAAGCTGAAATATATTGCTTGAAACCAAGGCATTGTACCTGTCTGAAAGAAAATTATAAAGAATATTACAACAGGTTTGGATAATGCTATATAGACATAGCATAGGCATACAACCAAAGAATGCGTCACAAAATATTCTCCAGAAAAAGCTTATGTCGTCCTCTATCGGTCATTGCACTTATTCCAAAGCAAATAATAATAATAATGTAGCCTACATATGAAGAAAAAAAGAGGCATACATAGGCTACATACGTTAAACATCCGTTAAACATCGTATTTTCAAAAATCACATTAATAATACATTGAAAAAATTGTGGTTACACGAGGGAATACTTAACGTTATTTGTATATATTTAAGTTGATTACCTAAAAAGTGCATATCCATTTTAAAAATGATATTTTAAAACGCAGGACAGAAAGTAGGCTAGAAAAGGAAGTGAAACTATAAACCGCCCGCTTACCTTTACACTATGTTGTGCTCCGTACAAGGAAACTTTAAAAGGAAAACACTTTCAGATTTCCTTTCTTGGTGCTGTAAATTATTATAGCTATATTAACAATATAAATACAAAGAATTCACATATTCGCGGGTTTTGATTAAACTACTTCCATATTCACCTAACGTTATGTGTTTCATTCACAGCGAAATCACAAGTCATCACGGTAAGATAGACATACCAGTTTGACAACATTTCACGGCCTCAAGCGCTTATAGGAGTGGCAGTGGGATGTGACAAAGTTTCGATGACCTACCTGCACATATCAATAAACAAAGGTGCTTTGATCGCTTATTTCGGAAAAATAATCAGTAGTAGTAAGTTTTACTGTGTCTAACTGATCGTAGTCCAATGTTGAAAATGTAACCTTCACCTGTTAAAACAACAACAAAAAAATCCTTAGTCCACCTTGAATAGCTTCCGATTTCAACAGTCCATTGCGTCTTGGATCAACCGTTCTTTTCAATGATAGTTGGGCCTCTTCTTTGTAGGAGCCAACATCTTTTAAAACATTTATGAAAGTCAGTCCTATGTAATTCGTTTTATTTTATCGCTTTAAAACGAATGAATTGCCTATCTATCTGTGCATTTACAACGTCACCACATTTAAATTTTCAAGTCATGCTAATATTTCTCCAGCGTCTGAATCTCGCCGTGCGGTTTATTCCCTCCCAGCGATTATAATTTCCCCAATCCTCACATGTGGGAATAATTTGCAACAATTGCTTGTAATGCGCAGGGTAGTTCTCTTATTTGATCGTTATGGTCCAATAAGAATTGAGAGACACATGGAACCGAGATGAATAACATAGTTAGAAGGAAGTAAAAAACATAAAGTAAAAAAAAAAAAAAAAAATTGGTAAAATTAAATAAATACCTTATTTGGTGTGTGTATATATGCAAAAGTATATCAATACAGCTTCTCATACATTAATTTAAAATTAAGTTTACAATTACATTCTTTAATCTCTAAATGCCTTAATTTATTTATATAAATGAATCCATTTATATCCCAGCTCAGAGTATCTGAATTGTGTTAAAAAATGTTATGGGAAAATTGTTACAAATATTTTATAATGAATCACTCCTCCAAAAAATCAGTCACCCACAAATTATTACATGAAACGTTTAAAAACATTTTAATTGTGTACAAAAGAATATTGTTCAATTTAGATAGAAAACTGGAAGATAAATGATGTCTGATCTCTCTTCAGAGCCAAGAAAAATAGCTTAAATAAAAAAACCTAAAATAATCACTGAAATAAAACTTAAGACAAGTCATGGAATTATTTGACTGAGAATCATCATGTAACAATATTGTGTAATTTTGATAACATTGCAAAATTAAATAGTGCTTTGTTCTTATTTGCAGCCGACAAACATGATCTACAATACAATTTGTCCTAGTTAAAAAAAAAAAAAAATCCATGTCCCTTGATTAAAGGCCGTAAATTGTGTCTAGCAACTCCCTCAAGAGTCAAGTATACCATAAGAAACTGCTATCGTGGGACAAAGGAAAAACACCTAGTCTTGTTTTTACGCCGGTCTACTTCTTTACAGACAGAGTGAATCACTCCCTCACAACACTGAGTAATATCATGCTTTGTTAGTAAATTCATTTGGCAATTCCTCTGTATCACTTTTGCATCACTGTCTACTGATGAAGGTGCAAAAATCACAAGCAAAGCACGACATATACAATAACATGAAACTGGAGACAGAATGTCTTATTCTGCACATAAGCACAAATGGACGTACCTACAAAAAGACATCAAATTTAGACTAAAGCAAAAAACAAAACATACCAAAACCACACGATTTGTCCATTTTAGTGTTAAACTACATTAGATAACTATTCACGATGACAAAGCTGGTGTGCAAACATATACAGTATAGCCTTTGGTTTGTATGAATACTAGCACTGCAGATACTGGACTCATTATTTGAACACCACTGCTTCTCCACTAAAAATGCTCAATTATTAAAACCACATCATGTCTTAGTCATCAGACATTGCTTCATCAGGAACAGATTAATGAAAACAAGCTGGCTGAATATATTTCTGGCCACTGATGGGTAGCAAAGTGTAGACTATAGCAGCCATTTCAGTGCAGTCTCACTGACTAAATAAATCCCCCGAGAGAGGACATGCTGAACAGGGGTCTGGGCCAATAAAACACTTTCTGACTTGCCTTTGTGAGTCAATAATACAATATTTGTATTTTGTACATACAGGCGACACCAGAACCATCACAGGGTTTTGTCAGCACATCGTTTGACAACGTGGTTGTTTAAAAATGCGTTGTCACTATTGTTCACCCCCTCGATGATGAATGTTTTTGAAAATCTCTCGTGGCACACAAATCAGTCTGCGACCTTTTACCATGATGGAAATAAACAAATACTGTTCTTGAATCTAAAACCAAGAGCATGATTCTACAAGGCACTACATAAAACACATGGGCAAAATAAGACTAAAGGCTCCCCTTTCCAACAGGTTCTATCTCATTTGATACAGCCTAGTTTCTCTTTGGGAACCATTCATACACACATACTGTAAAAGCAGCTAAAACAATGATGCCACACAGACATATGCACAAAACACACACACACACTGTGTAGACATATAAGGCACCAGGCGTGAGAGTGAGGGCTTCAGTCTCCTAGGCAACAGTGCAGAGGGGCAGTCAGAGCAGGGTGCAGGGACAGCCACCACTCTTCTGCTTTCTCGCGTGATTAGCGGGGAGTGGCGGACTCTCCGTCTCTTGAAACTTCCTGAGGAGAGATGGTAATGTAAGTTCATCATAATCCACAGCATTGTAAATCTCATAAGTTCTCTATTACAAATACCTTATTGCTCGCACAACCTCCATGAAGGCTTCTTCCACATTGTGGCGGTTCTTAGCTGATGATTCCATATAGGGGATCCTGTTTTCTCGGGCAAACGACATGGCCTCCTCTCTCGAGATCTATTTTGTGGGGGGTGGGGGGTATGAATTGGTAGCCTATTTTTCATTAAAAATTTAACCAGCTGTGGAACACGGAAACATTACCTCTCTCTGCTGGTCAAGATCTGATTTGTTGCCAACAAGAACTATGGGAAAGTCATCTCGATCCTTCACCCGTAATATTTGAGTGTGAAATTTCTGAATTTCTTTAAAACTGAAACAGAGACCACCAACAACATTTTAGCAGAATAGCAAGTTTTATGAAAAAACAAAAACAAAGAGTTCATAGAAGGTCATTACTCTTCTTGGATTGTAGCCAGAAAATTCAACTTAAAATAAATTAATATTAAAATTCCTAAAGGTAGAATTAACAAATAAAACAAATTAATAAAACAAATTGCATTAAATATTTTCCTGAACATATTTTTTTTTTTTTCCACAGAGACAAGAATTTGTATCGCTTAAAAAAAGTTGCACTTTGAAACTTGTTTTCAAAACTTCGCATTCTCATGCCCCCAAAACGCAGTTGTTGTGTAAATGATCAGCCAAACAGCATAAATGGTCTTCTGTTTTTAATTGAAAATGGTGTCATGTAAACGGTCCCTTCGTACACTGTGAACATTTATACTGGCCACAGAAAGTCTCAGTTCAGCTGTTGAGGCTCAACTCTGCACCTGATGACATGAACACTCATAACCTACACTTTCATTCTCATCACAAACACATTCTGTGGTTTTATTTTTAACACACACACACACACACTCTCTGTTCTCATCACACAGAGAAGTTAGGAACCATCTATTTGCCTTCCTCTCATGCTCACAAACACACTCGGGAAAACACCTACCTGCCACGGTCATTAAGAGCAAACACCAGTAAGAAACCCTCTCCAGAGCGCATGTACTGCTCTCTCATCGCTCCAAACTCTTCTTGTCCTGCTGTGTCCAGGACTAATGGCGAACGACACAAAAACAAAACAAACCCCAGGTAAATTTAAACACAGCAGGCATGATGTTGGACTGACAGCAAGTCAAAACAAAACCTGGGCAGGAACCAGTAGTCAGCATTTAATCATCAATGATGTAACTCAGACAAAAATCTCCCTGCTGAGGAAACATGTGGAGCTTTTAACACTCATTCCTTCCTATAAAGAACATATTAACACCAACATACTGTCTAATCGTGTCTCCTTTCCATCCACGGTGCAGGTTTTAGTGTACGAGTCTTCAATGGTCGGGTCATAGTCAGACACAAAGTACGACTGTGAAAAAAAACATATTGGTTCACAAACTCTTAAACGAGGGCTTTAACATGAAGGAACATGCAGAGAAAAACCACTTCACTCTGAACGTCACACAACTCTTACAACACACCCACAGAAATAATTACCACCGCGTATTTGGCCCATGTTGCGACATAAATACATACAAAGTATTCATCTTTTTCATACAAAGTACTAAAAATACAGACTTACCTGAATGAACTGAATACTGAGGGCGCTTTTCCCCACACCTCCACCGCCCACGACCACCAACTTATATCTTTCTTCCGTTGACATGGTCCTACTCCTGCAAATATGTAACATTGGGTCATTAAAGGGCACCTATTATGGAAAAAGGACATCTATTATACTATTAATGGACACCTATTATACTAATAATGTCTTTTTACTCAACTACAATGGTTTTAAGAGGAAAAATACTGCCCTACGGAGCATAAAGATTTGAGACCGTAAAAGGCCTGGCATCGTTGATAAACCTCTACAATAGGCTACAATGTTACAGATTTGGGCAATACGTATCACAATCAAAGCTCCATATTTCAATATCTACAAAACAATAGCATTTTCAGAATCAGAATGATAGACTGAAGTGGAAATAATTAATTGATAGATTGAAGTGGAAATAAAACAAATACCGCGCTGGTCTGCGCCATGAACGCCGATTAACGTTACCTTTCTTCCGCAGCCGCCTTCAGTAAATTAGCCTTCTGGTGCCAAGTTAGCGACTCGAAAGTCAGACAACTTAGTCCACTGCCAACCCGCAAATACTCTGACAACTTTAATACACTATATCCGCAAGATTTAGCCGACAAACTCTCCCTTTTGTACAAGCGATAAAACCATCTTGCTATGGAGATAAACGGCGAATTCCAAGCTTAAAGGAATGTCCGCCCTCTGGATTTTTCTTGGTGATTTCTGGACTCTCTCTTGCTTCCGATAGCTTTTTTTCATGACCAGGGGCAACTTTTTTTTTCGTCTTCAGTGTATCTCATACGCACGCCTGAAATGGGCGTGGCTTCCATCGTTGTTTTTCTCATCGCACAAATCATTTCGTAATCGGTGTGCCTTGGTCAGTTCTTATTGGCTGATACGAATGATTCGATGAACTATTCTGCTGCTACTCGCTTGCATTTCCGCAATAGAAGGCAGGCTTTATGATAAATGTGTAATACGAGCGTCGTCTTTCCATATTTGGCCAAGGGCCTGGCTTGCCTGGGTTACGGTAGATGTTTTACACAGAGCGTTAATTCTGTATTCAATGTCCGTTTTCTATTCAGCTCGAATGATATAAATAAGCGCAAGAGTTAAAAACAGGAGAGATAATCTATTGAAATTTGTTATGGACATGAGGCTGATTTTAAATGAGGCTGATTTAAACGTTATATGTTTGTCTAGATGGAATATTTTGTACCTTATATTTATTTATTTATTTAATGTGCATTTCATAGTGATATGGAATATGTTGATTCTGTACATTTGCCTTTGTTCTTAAAGTAGGCTATATTGTGTCAATTCTTGGCAATATCCGTGTGGATGCTGATTCACTTTTTGGCTTGTATTAAACAAAAACCTCCAAGAATGTGAAAAACAGGGAGTATTACAAATCATTTTTGGAGACACCCACCAGTTACTGTCTGCCTTCCCAACATGTATGGGGAAATGGAGCTCCTCTTCATTGTGACTAAACCAAGACTAAATTTCAGTAGCCTGATGCAACAAATTCCTCAACTTTATAGAAAGCCCTTCGGTATAACTGTAAGGATATTATAATTACTGTTTTTTTCTTAACTTAAAAGGCACAGGTCTATAGCCCAACTGATCAACTGGCTCTTAAATTCACAGACATGATGTTGAGGTAGTAGATCGTACCCATTTTATTGCTAGATTTGGTCTTTTAATGACATTTTATTATAAAATTCAACAGTTGCTAAAATGAAAGAGACAGAGAGATAAAATAATTGTCTTTAATGAACACTTTTTCAATACAAGCTATAGTGTTCAAATTCCACCTGCAAAATACCCATTTATAAATGTCAATTATCAGTGTATTTTAATAAATAAAGTCACAGGCAGGCTGTGCATTATAACAGAACAAATTGCAAGTGTTTTTCCAGACATTCTGTCATTTATCACCAGTCCGTCAGATGACTTGAGTCTATCAAACACTCTTGGAGGAACATGCAATTTCTTCAAATAAATAAGCGAGTTCACACACTCATGGGCTATGCTTATTCACCCATGTCTCTGTCTCATGCCTCACCCCACTCTGTCTTCATTTAAGTTCCTTTCAATGGTGGGGAGGTAAATAATAAACACAGTTCCTTAGATATGCCTCACTGAAAAGTCCTCATTTACACTCCATCTTTAAATAGCACAGTTCATACAACCAGACTGAAACAGTCCCTCTTCAACATCTGTACGGCAAAGCAGCCTGTCCCACTTTAATACGTGGGCCGAGTAGGACCCCAAGCAGCATGCGTTCTCCCCAGTCTAGTATTTTGTTAACCGTTAGACTGACTGGAGACAATGGGCTGTTGTCTCCATTCATACCCTCCACTGCTTCTACACCACTGGTAACCTCCTGTGAGGAGGTTTTGATCTCACATGGTCCCTGGATCTGCCTGTGCGATTGTGTGCTTGAATGGTTCACTTGGTTTGTTTTTTGTTGCTCCTCGTTTGCTCTGTTGTTTAGTTTATTCTTTCTTCTTTGTGATCTTGAGCAGCTGTGTCGAGCTGACGCCTCCTTGTTGATAAACCTGTTTGCCTCTTTTGGATCTGTTCTGGTTTCTGATGCTGACGGCTCCATGTCGGCTCTTCGCAAGTCCTCTAACGCCCCCGTCTGGTCAACTGCGGAACGGCTCTTCCTCAGATCACAGCTGATGGCTGATGACCCCTCCTGGTGAGTCTGAGGAACTGCACCCACTGGCGTAAGGGAAAGAGTGAGGCTTTTGCGTTTGTCCGCTAGAGATGGAATCTGAAGGTAAGTAGGCTTAGGTAGGTTGGACTTTGGTGAATCATGCTGTGTCTGAGATGTGATGTTTACTGGTCTTTGTATCTCTACGGGATTTGTGCGGAGAGTGAGCGCTCCGAGCTTGTCTGAAAGAGATAAGGTCAACTCTGGATTCATCATTTGGTTGTTCTTGTTCTCACAGTGCACGTTAGCTTGGGAATCCTCAGTGCATACGTCAACAATGCAGTTGTTGTCAGTTCTGTTCTGACGGTATAAGTTAGTTAACAGTGCCACTGCAGAACTGCTGTTGTTTTTTTCATTGGTGGGCTTCGGGCAGTTATCCAAAGGTTTGTCTGACTGCTGAGCGTGAAGGTTTGTGTTATTATTCTTCAAAGAAAGCGTTCCTTGGAAGAGCTGCAGCTGACCCAGGAAGTTAAAATTTGGTGAAATTGTAGGTCTGCGTTCTTTCACAAACCTAAAGGAATGATGAAATAGATACTTCACTCATTTGAATAATCTGCATTCATTAGATAAAAATACAATAAAACAATAATCGTTCTCAATTCAATCACCAGATTATACCTCTGACTTTATTTATGTGCGAAATGTCACTTCTTATTACACAGACAATGATAGAAGCAGTAGTAAAACAACGTATGCACATTACCTGTATGCATGATCCAGATCCATTTCCAGACTATACATGACGTATGCCACGGCAAGTGCAGGAGATCGAGAGATTCCTGCAGCACAGTGAACCAAGACAGAGCAGCCAAGTGACATGGCCCCATCTGCAACGAAACATATACGATGGCCTATATAAAAACGTGTATTCAGGATTTTCCAGCAGATGACTAATGCATAAAATATAGCCTATGATCTGTTTCAAATTAGCCTCATATTATTGTCTTTTCCTTTTTTTTTCTTTTTTTTTTACACAGACAAAATCTATTTCAATATCGATGCTAGCTATAATGACGTAATGCAGTTGGGATGCAAATGCAGGCTGATGTAAGGAGTGGGATTCCGGGTCCCTCACCAATGAAGTGCAACGCCTGAGGGATCCAAGGAAGCAGGTCATCCCGCAGAGAGTCGTCTATTGGGATACGGAGGTACTGGGACTGGGGTAGAAATGAAGGCTGTGGGCAACATCGGCTCACACTTAGTACGTACGAGATGCCTCGGTCAGACAAACCATCCTGTGGAAACGAACAGCGGGTGAAAGGTGAGAAAGTAACTTAAATGTAACACAAGAGGACAAACTAATTGTTAAATGAAGCATAAGTTAAATATGATTTGAGGAGAACACTATAATACTGATAAATCATTAGAAGAGGACTGTAAACAAACCTGGGTTACGTCAGTCTCTGCACCAAGGTAGAGATGCGGCAGAATACGGGACAACGGCGGCCGCTCGGACTGACTGTCCCTGTAGTACACCATTTCTTGATTTCTAAAAAAAACCCCAAAATAAATAAAATAAAAATGATTAACCTGAAAACCTATGGAGAAAAAATACAAAGAAAATAACTCTTTGTGTATGACGCACTAAACAAACAGTCAGAATCCTAAAAGCAGGTCAAATGGTATGCCTAAAGGGATTTAAAATTTTGATAAATTGCATTTAACAATGATTAAATGCAATGATAACAATGATAATTGACAAGTTACACATGTTTAGAATAAACTGAAAGCTGATACTCACCAGTCCAGTCAGTTATAGACCAGCAGAATGCGCAGGAAGTCCAAAAAGGTTGGAAAAGTGCAACGAAGCTGGTGGATGAACGTTGTAAATAGCACAAACGCGTGAAGTATTTGCAACTGCGCAATTATAAACAGTTCCTTGATCTCTCTTCTCAGTAGTTGTGCTCCCGTGCTCCTCTCCGTTCTGTCTGCGCTTCTCACATTATTTGTTGTTGTATGTCTATACCTGCGCGAGGGAGGAAAAAGATGAGGTCATCTCGTTTCCAGAAGCTAAGAATAGTACAATTCTATATGATGTCATTTTCAGCCAATCGGCGCCCAGGCTTGCTCTATGACGCGCGCGCGGGCACGCTCTCGCTCTGTTTGATGGACATCATCAATTTGCCCTGAAGACCTCGGCATTTTTATTGTGATGAATCGTGTTTTACTCCCTGTAGCCTTTCAGACAGATACACGCCGATTTTATTTGCAATCAGTCAAATGAGAGTCTTGTATGTCCTTTTTAGACTTTCTAGATGATTTTATAAATAGACTCGTGTGCAACGTCCCATGCGAGCAGTGTTTCTCTGGTAAACAAAATGTATAATTCAGAACGCTTAGTTCACTAGTCCACATTTACCTATTGATATAATATTTATACTATTTTAAACAACCGCACGTAGTGCACTGCAACCTACATCAAACATTACGTTATGAATTGTCACGTGTTTTTGTTATCCTACCACAATGATTTATATTTCTCGAGCTACAGATGCAAAAAACAACATTCAACTGTAACACACAATTAAATGAATGTGAACTTATTCAACTGTATTAACCATAAAGTTTTAAATTGATTTGCCTGGTTAAAAGGAAAATGTAAGACGGCTGATTTGTAGTGCAGTGTGGTATATTATTAAACATTGTATTTAAAATCTTGCATAATTGAGTTTTGCATGTTCACTGGAAAGATGCATTTTGTCTTTTAACTAAATGTGCAGGTCAAGATAATAATAAGCTTAGCTTAAAACACCATTATAAGTGCTGTTAGATGCCTAAACCTGAAGATTTAAGAAAATAATTGTGATTAATCTAATTTCATACCTGAAAGAATGGAATAGTAAAATTATCAAGTTTGATTACAAAAAAAGTTAACCAAAGTTTTACCACCAATTCTGCTTGAAATTAGAATCATTTTATTGTAGACCACCATAACCATAACACTATTGTTACATTCCTAAACCTATGGGCCACCTAACATCTTAGAGCTGGACTCAGGCCTATAACATAATGTGCTGAGATATACTATTTTGTGCTTTGTGCATGTGTGAGTTTCAGCAGTCAGCCCTCCTAATCTCTGTGCCCATCCCTAAAACACACACACACAAAGAAAACACCTGGTTCGAGTATATGGCATAATTTTACTTTCACATTATTCAGTACAGAGTAAATTTTAATCTAACACAGGTATCTGACAGGTTGAACAGCGATACACCGGGGGCTGCATTAGCTAGCGGATACTGCATAGACACGCGCACACACAGAAACACACACACCATGACTGTGACTCTAATCAACTACAATGACGATGTCCCCAGTACTGCATCGAGGGAAGCGTGACCCCCAGCTGAACTAACATGACAATGTCGCATAAATTCCATTATATTTTTTTTTACACAAGAATCACACAGATTAACACCACACTCTCACCAAACGATGCTGACCAAAATTGTTATGATCCCTGTACGTGATTGACAGTTGGTAGCTGCTTTGGTCCAGTGCTCCCCCTTAAGCCCCCGTCCTCTAGGCCTAAGAATGTGTGTACAACTGTGTGTATGCGATGACTTTTCACAAACTAAGTGCTTTCCCAGGTTTTAGCTCTGCAAAAGAAAATATGGGTCTCCAGCTGTGGTCAGTCACCACTGAAAGTTAATAGTGCGTGTGTCGTGTAAAGATTTAGTGATGAGGTAACCACTATCTACTATTCATTTCAGTCAATAACTGTGCTGGAAGAATAACGATGTCAATGTCTTCCAGATGTTTTTTTTTTTAAAACGATATTACCAACAAAAAAAAAGACAACATTTACATGAAGGTCCACAGCAGTTGCACTCTTCACGTGCAGAAACTCACACACTGGCGGACCTGACCTTCTCTCTGCTTCACTTCCTTTCTGATTCTAGTTCCTCCCCAGCTCGTTTAACACTGTACAACTAACCTGAAACGGTATGCCCATTCACTCGTAGTACAGAATGGAATGTCCAAAACAAAAGCAAAAAAACATTAGACCATTTAAGAAAGCATACAAACACACCAACAATACACCACTATCAAAAACAAGAAAGAGACATACAAATGCAACCATGAAGGGTAATCATTTACATGGTTTATATATATTTATATAGAGATTTTTTTTCAATAAACATTGTCAGATAATGGGGGTCAGGAAGAGTACTGAATACATAAGACAAGAACAGGAAAAAAAGGGTCGGGACTATAAAAGCCTTTCCTCTCAAAGCCTCTTAAAGTGCACTGGCCATTTCTATGTCGGAAGGAACGCGTGTACGATGCAATAAACTGGAAATGCACGTGGAATCTTTTTTTTTTTTTTCTCTATGTACACCAATAGCTCTGAATCGGATTTCAGGAGGAAAGCGAGAGAGATAAAGTGTTGAGGGTTAGTGATTCTGGCCTCTTTTAGAGAAGTGCCATTACGTTAGTGTATTGAGATTGAGTTTTTTTGTTTGTTTTTCCTGCTAATAGTCTTACAGGGAATGTCCCAAAGAAACAGCTAATGTGCAGTTCTTGCGGTTGAAACTTTGCGGATAAAACAGGAGAGAGGGAAGACTTGCTCCACTTCCATTTGCACTTACTTTTCTCCCTCCCCCTTAACCCACAACATAAACAAACACACACACACACACACCAGCTCAGTCAACACAAGCACAGAAGTTGATCATTGAACAGGCAGGACGGAGAACGGAACTATCATCATGACTCTTTCACACATGTACGAAAAAAACACACACGCTTCCTTTCGTTCCATTGCTCACACACAGGTAAACACCGATAAAAACAAGAAGGGCAGCGCTGATGATAATAACAGTAATAATAATAATCATTATCAGAAGGACAGTAATATGGCTGCCAGAGGCTGACAGCTACTTTTTCCCTTATGCATGAATGCTATTTGTAGAATCTTTATTCTGGGGCCTTTCAGGTGGAACGCTGGTCTGGTCTGGTCTGCGTGTCGGTTCTAGATGGCGCTAGTCTCGGCTGGCTTTCTAGAACTGTTCCGCCAGCAGCTCACAAAGACGCTGGGAGACAGTGTCCTTACTGCTGCGCAGGGTCAACCGGTACATCTGAACAGAGAGAGAATAAAGAGCATTACACCAAATGTAAATGCAAACACAAACAATTGAGGAAGAACATCGATTGTGCAGATAAGACGCTCATTCCGCTTTCCGAATGCGTGTCTGATCCATATTGTTGATACATAGACTAAATGTGAACTTGCACTATGGACAAAGGAAACTCCACATATACAAAGAGAAGGACGCTGCTGTCACGCCAAATGAACTGGGTTTTACTACCAGACATGGAGTGAAATCACAAGAGAGGGAGGGAGGGAGGATGGGAGGTTTTTGGGTTGAGAGGGGTGGCAGGATGAATGTGTTACCTGCTCCCCAGACTGGAGTTGCATCAGCAGGCACAGAGACACACAGACAACAGTAAGATGCAATAAAACTGACTTTGAAAGAAACCTGTGCTCCATAGCAGCAGGGAGGGACTGTTAAGACTTTTGATGCCCGTGGCATTTCGTTGTTTTTTTTTCTCCCCCTTTCCTTTTGTTTGCGTAATATGGATACATATATTTGCATAAAATGAATGTCTTTTCATACCTGGGCTTGTGCGTTGGGCTCGAGTCTTAGCAGAGAACCCACTTGTTGGGCCTTGGTTTGGATCACTCCGGCACACACAAAGTTCTCTGGGTTTGGATCCACGTTCTCCAAGAGAGCCATGCCCAATCCCAGTAACTACGAAATGTGAGGGAGAAGGGAAGGGTAGCAAAAGACGAAAGATGAGAATTAAATGAAGTGAACTCTTGTCTGCAGGACTATTTCTGCATAGGGGTGTCGCAATATACCAGTATTGGCGATAATAAAAAACTAAATATGTTAATACAACACGTACATTAACATTGTAAATAATCTGATTGACTTTGAAACGTAGTAAGTGGTGGTATTGCACCCTCACACTGGTTGGCATGTCATAAAACATGATGTGTAGCTACTACTGCAGCACAAAATCATGTTGGAGATCACGGACGAAAGCAATGCACACTACCCGCACCCGGAAAAAGTTAGTTTGCCCATGTGAGAGTTTTTGTGATGTCAATGTAGGGCGGTGTCAACTCACCTTAGCTTTGAGCACTTCGGTGTCCATGGCATGGTTGGCCTTGAAGATCTTCTGTGCTTCTTGCTGAGGCCTGTGAGGGGAGAATTTAACAAGTTTCTCATTTAGAGAACAGTTTGTGATGTTTTGTCAACAGTAATCTGACTCGTGTACACACAAACACTTACTGGCTGAGTTGTTTCCAGCGCTGAAAGAAGTCATGTGATGCCATCTCTGTGGGCTGGAAGAACTTGTTTATGGTAACGGGCAGCTTGAGTGTGAGGTTCTGGAGAGCTCCGCCATACCTGAGACAGCATGAAAGCTTTGTAAACCTTAGAGTGCATGTGGATTTACCATCGCAACCATTAGGGGCCACGAGATCTCGCGAGACAAAAACATGACAAGATTTCCCATTGAGTGAAAAGCTGTCTCGCGAAATCGCCATGACACATTAACTAGTTGCCGTTGCAATCAGTGCAGCACGAATCACAGCTCACTGTTCCCATGGCGATGGCGGAGGATTCGTTGCGCAACATAGACTAAACGTCTGATAAATGTCTAAACATGTAGAATACACGCTCAGTGCCGCTGCTCCCTATACATAGAGTATGCGCGATCACCAATTTGAAAGTAAAACACAAGCTCCCTGATGTGCATTGCACACAAATTAGGCTTCATAGTCTAATATCTCCCAATACCCATCTCTGGACTGTTTATTTGCAGCTATGGTCTCTGTTTGCACTTCGAATATTGAGAGAGTACTGTAATGTCTTAAGGACAACAGACAAGGGAGGCTCTGTTTCTGAACTTATAATCAGAACACAAGAAAAACAACCGAGACAAACACACCAG